TCCAGCCAAAGACAATCTGAATCTTTGGGTCCCCAGCCAGGGAGCCGGGAAGCCCCAACGGAAGCCAGATCCGAGCACAATCTCATTAACCCTCGGCGCCACGTCATGACCTGCCCACCTCGCTGTTTCTTGCAGCCTGGACCGATGTCTGCGAACAGAGCACGGTGTGGCAGACGGTGCTCAGACATTCGTAGAACGTGCCCTAGCCACCTAAGACGGTGCTGTGAAATTATTTTTTTCAGAGGAAAACTATCTGATCCTAGCACCCGTCGTCTAACTCCATAGTTATTCACGCGATGCTCCCACCATATACGGGTGATGTTGCGCAGACAGTGGTGGTCAAAGACTGATAGTCGCTGGACGGGCTCNATGGTGCGTATCGTTGTGCAACACACGCCCTTTCAGTGAAAGGGATATGTCGCGCCGGCGTCAGGGATGCCGCAGATTAGCAAACGCTAATCTAGCTTTGATCACGCGTTTAGAGATCTCCTCACCAACACATCTTGCAACAACACTGCACTTTGAAGGTGCAAAAGACATACCATATCGAGTAACCTGAATTGCCAAACGGCTCAACGACTCTTGAATCGTTGATGCGTTGTCACCTAGTAAGGTAATATGATCGGCATGCTCTAAATCTACGACTGTCTCCAGGAGGAAGCTCGACGCCAGTGTTCGTTACGTTATGTAACGCATTTTGTAGGACATCATCTTTGGCAAAGTTGAAGAGAAACGGAGAGATAGGGCAACCCTGACGTCCCCCGCTGGTGACAAGAAATGAGAGTGAAAGTCCACTATAGGCCTTAACCTTCCCCGAGGTCTGGTGATAGAGCGCTTTTAGGAGTGAAACATAATTCTCGGGTACTCCGTCTCTCCGCAAACAGTTCCACAGTGCTGGGCGATCGATAGAGTCGAAGGCCGCCCTGATTTCTAAAAACACGACAATGGTTTGCCGTCTGTATGCGTGGTGGTGTTCTAGTAGCTGACGGAGGGTGAAGATTTGATCTATGCAGCCCTGGCGCGCACGAAACCCGGCCTGCTCCTCGCGGATTTTCTTCTCACGGAATGGGCATAACCTGCGTAATAAAACGGACGCCAGCAGCTTCGACGCTATTGGGATCAGACTTATGCCCCTGTGGTTGGAACAGGCGTTGCGACAGCCCTTCTTGTAGATAGGGGACAATCGATTCTCCCCATATGTGGGGTACACGTTCAATTTCCCAGATCTTCGAGAACAATCTCACAAATTCTCTTACGAGTGCTTCTCCACCATCTTTAAAGAAGGTAGATGGCAGGTCGTCTGATCCAGCCGCCTTGTGGCGTTTCAGGATTTGGAGTTCCTTTCGGATCTCTGCTTCTGTATTCGGTCTCGTAGATGGTGACCAGGGTGTACTCTCAAGAGAACTACTTGGAGAAGCCAGCGCGAGGGGGGGGGGCTGTTTGAACTGCGATGTGAAGTGCTCTGCCCAGCGTTCCAAGCGTGAAGGCTGCTTACTAGCTTGCCATCTGCTTCGCAGATTGTTTCACTAACGCACTGTTTTTTGGGGCCTGTAGCACGGATGAGCTGGAATAGTTGCCGGGTGTTTCCACACCTAGCCGCTGATTCCATCTCCTTTGCACGTAGCGTGTATTCATTGATAAAACCGAAGTTGGTATCCTTTTAGTAAATCACGTCAGACGAACCTTCCTCAGACATTTCACAACTTAGGCAAATCCGTGTTGCATCGCATTTCGTCTAAGCTGCCTGATGTCGGGAAGGCTCCTCAAATGGAACTTGATTGGGATTAAACAACTTGAGTTTCAGTAACCCCTGTTTTGTCACTGGCAACCTATAGTTTGGTTTTACAATGCTCAGCTGTATTATGTCAATCTGTGGATCGAAAAGACATAGGTGACGGATTCGCGAGTTCTATGTCTGCATCTGGACAAATCTGCGCAACATATAATGTGACCCATTGTACAGACGGTCTTTTGTCCGTCTTTCTGTTCCTCAGTTGTTGTTTGTTCATGATGCGAGGTGGGTGGGAGGGAGTAGGGCTAGTTTATGAGAAGGTTAGGGTCGATCTAAATCATTTTGATAGATCCAAGTATCATCATTCTTAAATACACATTAATTCTGTTCTATGTAATTGCAATCCATTTTAATACATCATGCGTAAAGCCTAGTTGAATCTTTTTGCAATGTTTTAGGTCAATGCGGATTACCGTCTGTCAGACACCTATCCGGCACTTTTGGCCGTTCCTTGGGAAGTCTCCGACGAGTTGTTAACTGCTTGTGCACCGCATCGGAGCCGTGGTCGTGTCCCAGTACTTAGCTGGTTACATCCAGAGAGCAAAGCCAGCTTGACACGCGCAAGTCAGCCGCAAGTTGGCGTGCAAGGACGCCGGAGTGCCGCAGATGAGGAACTAGTGCGTCAGATACGCGCAGCCAACGCCAATGCGAATAGTCTATTGATTTTTGATGCCCGACCTCACGTGAGTGTCCAGAGTCAATCATTTTTTCCTACAGTACGTGTTCGCAATTACACAATTACTTTGTACGATAACCCCCACCATTGCACACAAAGTACTATTTTTCAATGACAGTTACCCAAGCTCTTGGACCTGGTGTGATGAGCCGTATATGAAGGGGCCCAATTGGAGAGACTTACTATTAAACCAGGTGTCAGTAAAGTAGCTTCCGTAAGTGGATTTCCATTGCGGTTTGTCAAGAGGTCGAATATTTTTAATAACCTCAGGTCTCCTTAAACGCCTCTGTTTTTATTATTCCCTGTCTATGAAGACGGGAAAAAAACAGGGCAGACGAGGAACATGGATCATTGCACAACTAACTGCCTGTTCCACACAGCTGTCTACGAAGCTTATTTACATCCATTTTCACGCGACCCTCCCCAACATGAGGCTGAGTCGAATTTACGGGTGCCGATGACCGCAGCGGCTAGATCGGAGGCAGAATCACTGAATCATGTATGCCTTACTGCGGTGGTTTGTTGATGGAACAGGCATCAATAAGCTTGCAACCACGACCATTTTTGAATTTAGAGTAGCTTATCTGGGCGGTAAGGGAAGACCTACGACAGTGGGATATAAAACATTGTTGTTTTTCCATTTCTACCCATTTTTCTTCATGCTCCGAGGTCGGTACAACTGTGCTAAAAACGGAGTGCGCAAACGAATCGTTCTGGTTTTCGAAGAGGGACAGGATTGATGAGTGGCTGAGAGACACAGTGGGGTGAAGTCTAAGAACGCTTACAACTTGATTAATGCCAAGGCACCGCAGTACGAATGTCAACCGAAAGGCAGAGGGAGAAAGGCTTTAAATGACACGGAGATTTACGAGGTGATCATCTGGTTGGAAGATGACCCCACAATCACATTGGAGTTGTTAAGGATCCGAATTAAAGCGGAGTTTGAGAAGGAGGTGTCACGCACAATAGTTGGTAATTATTTACATTGCCGGTTGATTACAATCAAGAAGCTTCATCTCATTCCATCTGGAATGAATAATCCGGAGACGAAGGTGATCCGCCCACGGTATGCTCTTCAGATGCTCGAAGTAGGATACCGGGACAATGGGTAGGTCCACCGAAGGTAAACGTTCATGCTTGCCGGTATGCAATAGTCGTGGGATAAACTTGCACCTAATCGGTGTCATGATTGTGTTGGGAATGGTATCGTGCAAGACCAAACGCGGAGCACATCGGAGGGAAGGCTGCAATCGGTGGATGCGATCAGTGCTTGATCAGCGACAATGCTCCTTGCTACAGTAGAATGGAGGAGGTATTCACTAATATCGTGGGGTAAAGCTGCGGAAGATGCCATCACGCTCGCCAATGCTCAATCCGATTGAGCATATGTGGAGCTTTATTAAGAGCAAAGTCCAGTGGGATTTGGGCGGTAA